TCAGGATGGGTTCACAGGTCTTCCGGGCTCTTCAGTCCCCTCAGGCCTGCCTCTGGGATGAAGTTCTGAGCTGAGAACAAAATGGCATCGACCACATGGCCTCTTTATACTCCTTCCTGGCCTCTTCTAGTATGTAGCAGGTCACCTGGTCCTCAGCCTCTCTGTGTTCCCTGCTGGCTGCTCTCAGGACAACCCCCATTCTTTGGGTGTGTCTTTGGCCCATTGAGAACCATTGTTCCACAGGTAATTAGCATGTCCACAGGCTCGGCCCTGCCCAATGCTTAACCACATGCAGGGAAATCTTCAGTTTCCACACAGATTACAGATCTACACACACAGACATTATACACTCACATAAACAGTGTACACAGGATCAGAAAACAACAAGCTCCCATTCAATACCCCACATGGCTCCCTTTCATACAGATTTCTGGGGCCAACACCCCCACCTAGGGGTGCAGCAGCGATCTGGCTGCTTCCCTCCAATTCGGTAATGTGACACCATCACAAAAAAAGCACTGGATATATCTAATTGCAATCTACAACCATGTTTAGTGGGCATGAGTTTAAGTAATTTGAAATAAAGTTGGGGGATTTAGCGGGTGACCCCATCCTTATTGTGACAGGTTGGATCACACATGTTCCCTTGGGATTGTCACCCAGTGCGCTGGTCGTGCCACTGAACCCACCTGTGGCGGATCTCCATATGCTTTATGAAATTGCCTTATAGCTACATATATGCAGAACTTGAAGATGCTTTGGACAAAATACCTCCTTAACCTGTAATTGTAATGTCTCAATCTGCTGGGTCTGTATTTTGGTGTCTGTATCGTTCCTGTGTGTAGAGTTAGAAATATGGGGCATGGAATGCTTTATGGTTTTAAATGTGCAAATTAAATTTAAATGAGGGTGTTTCCCTCAATGTTTGGGTGATCACCTGTAAACAGTCTCCTTTGTTCTTTAGGTCTAAGCAGTAGTTGGTTGTAGGAAGAGATGTGACCTTTCCAACTGGTAGGGTCTGACCAGGTAATTTTCCATTAAAGGGGGGAATATAGAAACAGAATTCCCTCCCAAAAGGAATTTTATTTAAGATGCAAAGATTTCAGATTCTTTGTCTTTGGCTGGCATGTCACGCCCAAGAGAATAAATCAGAGACCCCTGGGAAAAAGATCTTCCCTGGCTTGGAGGTCAGCCGACATAAGAACAATTTTAGGGCAAATTGGCAATAAGCTTCAGTATGTTAGAACTAGCTATATGTTTTTTGTTATTATAAATTTGCAATTTACTTTGCTCTGCCTGGCTTCACTTGTTACCACTTAAATCCTACTTTTGGTGAATAAAAGTAATTGTATTAAGTACAACCAAGCCCAGTGTAAATAATTGTTACCTAGGAGAGCAATAAGTGCATAGAGTCTCCTTTTCTTGTTAAACAGGGCTTCCCTAAATAATTCATTTGGGGTTCTGACCTCATTTGGGGAGTGGGTTTCTGGAAGCTGAGCCCAAAACTGCATTTTCCTTGGAGCTGAAGAGTTTCTGTGTCTGTATTGTTCTCCAGAGGGGTTGTGATCTCAGCTCTGTGCCTTGGCTAGAGGAGACCAGGTGAGCTGGCCGGGTAGGACAGGGTGGTAAGAAACTCCAGAGAGGAAGAGGGCGAGTGTCAATGGCTCAGTTAGCAGTTTGGGAAGCATCCCGAAAGGATCTTCTGTGACCGCACCGTGTCACAGCTGGGACTTTTTTATAGTAAATAAAAGTGATTTTATTAAGTACAAACAGTAGGATTTAAGAGGTTGCAAGTAAACACAAGGATTAATTCAAATGAATTTAATTCGGGGGAAGTGCTGTTACCGGTTAGACAAGCAGTCAAACTAGATGACCACAAAAGTCCCTTCCAATAATCTATGCAAGGAACCATTTCCCTGGATCTTGTTCCCATCCACTTTCACTGTGCTTAGGGTCTTGGATGGGTATACACTTGGGGCTGCTAGCCCTTCCCCTTGCTCTCACTGCTGTGTTAAAACAAAAAAAGCAGTCATGTAGCACTTTAAAGACTAACTTTTTTAAAGCCCTTTTTTTGTTTTACCAAGATCAGACTAACACGGCTACCTCTCTGTTACAGGGAACTTAGCACAGCATGATGAAAAGTAAGCTGTGTTGCCACAGAGCTGGCTATTGAAGGCTGTGCAAGCAGGGAGAGGTGCCTCTCCCCTGGCCCACCCCAGCCCCGCTAGAGCTGCCATGGCCATGAAGAGGTACCCTCCTTGGCCCAGTCTTGCTTGAACCATTGTGGCCATGAAATAACACCCCTCCCTTGGCCTGCCCTGGCCCAGCTCAGCCCCACTGGAGCCATCATGGCTGTGGAAATGCTCCTCCCTTGGCCTTGCCCAGCCCACCTCTAACCAAGGCCCTCATCTCCCCGCTCCCCAACCCTCTTGTAAGCGGGGGAATGATCCCGCTATTGTGGGGAACTTTCCTGGCTTCTATACACCCCGGTGAAATGAACCAGCGAAAGGATCTGAGTCCCCGCTCCCACTTCCTTTACCCCACGGCTCCCTGATCCTGAGGGCTCCCCCTCCACTCTCCTGAGTAGCAGAGCCCTTGAAACCCCAACAAGGCTGGGCCCAGGTTTCCTGGGGCTTAATCCCTGACCTTGTAGTCACTAGGGGCAGGAGTTAGGGTGTCCCCACTCCGAGGTGCTCTCTTTACACTGCAGGCCTTCTTGGCCCAGTGATCACTTCATAAGGTTCAAAGCAAATACAATTTATTAAACAACAACGGATTAAAGAGAAAAGAATAAGAAAAAAATGAGAATGGTTAAATGAGAACACACAGCCCTGCTCTGTAGCACAGGGACATCAAAACAGCAGCCTGCAGAGTATAAGGACAGTCCACAGTCTCTTTCTTAGAGGCCCTGGATATGCTGCAGGGGGGCTACAGGCTGGACACGCTAGCTCTGGTAGTGACCACACAGTCTCAAGCTCGAAGTGGCCAGACCCCTCTCCCAGTCCAGAGCCTTTCCCCACACTTTGCAGGTCCCAGTAGCTCACCACATCCAGCTGCAGGCTGTGCTGCTTGGCCAGTTCCAGCTCCTTGTGTTGTTTCTCTGTTCCTTTTGGCTTTCTGAGCACTGCCAGTCTGCTGCTCAACACAGGGTCTGCACTGCTTGGCCTGTCTGTGTCTGGTTCTGTCGCTGCAGGACTTCTTCTTGTACTCCTCTTTCAGATCTCTGTCTTTGCAGGACCTCTCCTGCACACAGCTTGTTTGTTCAGAGACAGAGCCAGAACAATCCCCACTTACAACCTGTCAGTCAGGCTGAGCTGGAGTGTTGACTGCTTTCCATTGTCTCTGGGGTCTGTCAGTCTCATGAATCCTTCCCCTTCTGAAGCTGGGAGCTGGCAAACCAAAAAATTCCCACAGAGTTTTAGTAAGGGGTAACAGTCCCCTTACACTCTGCCCCATCTCTGAGCTCCCCCCAGACTCCGAATCCTTCATCACCAGCCCCACCCCAGAGCCTTCACACTCTGCAGCTCAGCCCTCTTTCCCAGACCTGAGCCAACTCCCACACTGCAAACCCCTCAGCCCCACCCCTGACATGTACCGTCCAGCTGCGGGATGAATTTTGTTATGTTCACTAATATGGATGTGAACCAAGCGGGATTCTTGGGTGAGTTATCCTACACCTTTACCCTCTATTTTTCTTTTACCTCCTCTTTATTATTTAAAGCAGGGGTGGGGAACCTTTTTTGGGTTGGAGGCCACTGACCCACAGAAAAATCAGTGGGGGGCCACACACAAGTGAGAAGACAAAAAATCCTCACTGATGTGGCCCCTGACTGAGAAGGAGACAGACACTCCCCATATTCCCCTTGCACACCAGAGTCGAGGAGTGCCCAGGCCGGTATATTTTGTGTGCTCCAGCCCCATGGCGGGGCAGTGCTGGGTGAGAGCTGGGGCGCCAGCATTGGCTCTCCATTGCAAGGGGGAGGGTCTGAGCCTTGGGGCTGCAACCGATTCCTGGGCCCAAGATTCTCCACCGCTGATTTAAAGTCACGTACTCTGACTGTATGCTTTGCATCATACATTCTCCTTCTAGGGACTAGAGCATTCAGATTATAATACTTTTTCTTTTCTGATTGTTGTCCCAAGACTAAGTTGCTATAATAAACAATAGCTATTATTCACCTGGAGAACCAACTCTCATATTATCCTGTTTTTGCACTGGTGTGCTGTTCCATTTTAGTATCCAGCAAAAGCAACATTTGAAAGCCTGTATGCAATCAGGTAAACATGTCTGTGATCAGCACCTGCAGTTGACAAACTTACCCAATTATCTCTGCATTATATAACTCATAACAGTGTCGAAGCAAACGCCTCACTCAGTTTACGCGGCTAAACAGACAGTTTTATTGGCCAATAAAAGCAAAGTGAGCCAAACGTGGTCTCAGCAAAGCCTGGGTCCAGTAAGGCTACCTAATACAATCAATCCTAGTATCTTTATACCCTTAACCAAACAGTCTGACGTCAGGGCATCCAATTACAGAAATAATCAATTAGACTAGGAAAAACAAAGCCTTATCAACATGATGGCGGACAGGTACGAGGGAGTACCTCTCCTCTCTGAACCAGCCCAATTAACACATTCCAATAGCACATCTGTCTTGGCCTGGCGCATGGGGTGATAGAAAGTTCACTCTGGCCTACGTGCAAAGACAAAAAGCTGAAATGGTTTCTGTTATACAAGATGGCTTCTAGCTAAACATAAACTAACTTCATCACCTCTTTCTCCCCTGCCCCCCCGCTACAGATTTTTAGAACAACATCAGTGGGCGCCCTGTGGTTGTGAAACACTCTGAAAGTAGGAAGTTCAGAGTCTCACACTTCAGCTCCACAGAATTCAGGGCTGGGGCTGCTCCCTGAAAGGAAGCACACGCGGGACCCGGATGCAGACTGAGTCCACGGGCAAAAGGTGCAGGGGACACCTCAGCTTCTTTGCTTCCCCATAGGGATCCATTCCGCTGCTGGGCAGCCGCGCTCATTGCTGATTCCTGCATGTCACAAGACGATCCAGCAGCCAGGGAGTGAGAACCGAGAGGGTCAGCGACCCACCTGCTCGGGGCGGCTGTCCCATCAGCAGCTCTTGGCTCAGGTGAGGAAACTCTGCTTTCGCTGAGAGAAGGGTCCATGGCCAAGAGAGCTCATCCCCAGGCAGACGAGGGCTCGTGAGCTCTGGAGCCACCAGTCCCAGTGGGGTCTCTCTCTGTGGTGAATGACACTTGTCTAGCTCACTGTATCCCATCAAAGTCAATGGCATTTAGGAAGCTGGGGGCTGTTCTGGGTGGATCCCCTGTTCCACACTCAGCCATAGATCAGACTTCCCCAGAGCACGGCCACTCGGCTTTGGGGCTGTGCCCCCAGCGGGGTGGGTCTGTTCCACTTTTTAGAAAGCAGGAATCCGGGGCCACATTCTCCAGCGGTGCAATCCACTGGACTTCAGCGGCGTTAGGCCAGTGGAGCATTGGGCCATTGTCTCTGCACCACTCCGTTCAATGCTGGGTCCCACAAAGAGACAATAAAGCTAATCTGGTCTCATGCCTGTGGATCAGGTTCCCCAAGCAGCTCCTGGGCGCTGGCTGCACACTGCCAGGGGGAGTGCAGGGCAGGGCAGCAATTCTCTCCAGGCTCTCGCTGAAGGAGAAAGCCCAGAGCTGAAGGAACATGAAGACTCATCCCAAGAGAGGGGAGATGTACATGCTTGGGGGAGACGGGTGGGGCAGGGTAGGATGCTGTGTCTCCAGAACCTGCATGGGAACCAAGAGGGGAAGGTGGGAGTGTGTGTCTGTGTGTGTCCCTGTGTTCAGGGCAAAATGTGGAGATGAAGGAACATGGAGAATGAAATCCCCTCTCTCCATAGCTGAGGACAGTTTCTTGCTGGGGAGGTCAATAAGGACATTGAGCAACTCAAATCAAGCACAGTTGCTTCTCAGTTCTCTGGGCATTCTGCAGTGGCTCAGGAAGGAGGTGGGGACTTTGCTCTGCAATTAATCGATACTGGAAGTAATTTTTTTTCACCAGCCTGTCTCCTACTACTGGTCTGACTGGGTGGCTTAATGGCCCCTTCTGACTATGATGGATCAAGGCAGAGAGGGGAGGTTTTGTGTCTCACAGAAAGTCCCAACCTCCTCTATGTGATTATCAGAGCTTGGTTTCCACATTCCACAGGTGACAAGGACGGAGTTACCAAGTGAGTGCAAGGACCCCAGGCAGGCGCCCAGCGCAGAGCACAGGGAACAGGACTGAGTTGGTGGGCACAGACTGGCGTGGACATGCAGACGTTCTGCAGAGCTCTGCTGGCTCTGTGCTGGGCTTTCGGCAGGGGAGAATCACGAGGTGATTTTCAGATTCGTTTCCTCTTCTTTTGTCTTTCCTGCCCTTTTCTTCATCTTCCCTCCTCTCCTTCCAGCCCATTTACCTTCTCCATTCCCCCGCCCCTTCCTCTGCTTCCACCCTCCCTCTGCCATTCCAGATGAGTATCTTGGTGACTGGGCTGACAGGCAAGAGGACAATTGGTTATATGAGTAGAAGGTAAGAGGATGAAAACATGGATGATCTTACATGGTGGGAGGATGGATTGATGGAAAAGCAGGAGAGCATGGATGGACAAGTGGGCTTTTGGGCAAATGTATGAACAAGGTGGATTCTGAGTAGGTGAACGAACTGGGGGAGGGGGAAGTACAGGGATAGACAGACCCTGAAGGAGAGTGCGGGAATAAAATCACAGAAAGGCGAGAAGTGGAATTGATCACATGGGATTATAAATCACCAAATATCTCTGTTGTAAAGCAAACAAATGGGAAGGCAACTCTGTGTGAGTGTGTGTGTGTGTGTGAGAGAGAGAGAGAGAGAGCTCAGCACAAACATTAAAGGATCCCTATGAACTACCCCAGTCTTTTCTATACCACAGCAGAGATCAAATGGGATCTTCTGTCACGCCCAGGGACTGTTGCTGTTTTTAGGTTTAACCTCCCAGGGGCGCACGGGAAGAGCTGTTTGTTTGTTGATTAGGTCTAGTTTAGCCTCTGGGGTGTGAGGATCGGGGAGGGGGAGGATTTTATCCCTGACTCAGGAGCTGACTGACATGCCAGGGACTCCCCAGAGAGTTTACCCATTCACGTGGCATTGCCTCTGCCCTTCCCACCATGGCTCTGGTGGGCACTGCCCATTGCTCCTCTCTGCCCATCTCCATGAACCACAGACTGCATTGTGCTTTCCTCCCCCTGTCAGAGAGCCTCCCGATGCAGAGCCTGCACTGCTACAACGACTACACCTCCCAGACCACCTGCACGTGGCAGGAGTGCGGAGCGGCACGTCACTTCCTCAGTGTGACTCTTCACCATAAGGACAATATAAAAGAGTAAGTGGCCTCTGCTCTGCTGCAGAAAACATGTGCAGTGGGAGTGAGAGGAAGGGAAAGGAGTGGAGCTGACAGTCAGGTTTGAGGAGCACCGGGGCAGGCCCTGATATAGGATGGAACCTGGCAATTCTTTTAGATCTCCTCTGGGAGCCTGAGGAGAAACAGGAGGTTGTACTAGTCAGTTTATTTTCATTACCTTTCCTATACCTCTCCCTTATTTTTCTGGGGATCCCAGGTGTGAGTGATGGCATTTCATTCCAGTGAGTTTCTTATTTTTCTGGGGATCCCAGGTGTGAATGATGGCACCTGGAGTGGAGAAAGAGGCATTACAGTACAGGTGGGTTGGGGTCCATTCATCAACAGAAGAGAGAGGAATGGTTCTTCATTCTTTCAACTTTCCTCTGGGTCTTCTTGGTAGCACGGTTATAAGGAACATAGCTCTAGTGAGATCATGTCCACAAAATAAGGGCGGGTGGAGAGGCTGTGAAAAGAGAGAAGTGGTTATGTCTAAGGCTCTGCAATCAGATTTCCTCCCCGAGTCACTGGGCTTTGCACGTCGGTATTTTGCCTCCGCATCTGTTTCCTTCTGAGAGAGGAACTGAGCCATCATCCGGTCCAGAGAGATAGGGTGGGCAGAGATGGAGAGGGACAGAAAGGGAGCAAGAGATGGGGAGGAGAGGAGAGGGCCAGGGTTTAGGAGTGATGCAAAGTGGGAGGGAATAGGAAGGAATCATCTCTGGTATTTGGGGAAGAGATTATTAGTGGTGTGATCCCTCACCTTTTAAAGGAAGGACTGCTGACTTCACTGAGTTTAGATTGGGACCTAAAGGAGGCCACCACATCTGGAAAAACAGCCCGTGCAATGACTTGGCCCTTGAGAGAATGTCCCAGAGCCCAGTGTGAACTTGATCTATGAGGATGGATCCTGGGATGAGCGTGAGCTAGACAGAGGACCTGTACATGAACGCCAGCATTATGCTGATGACACACAACTCGCTACCATCCCTCACCACAGACAAGTGCACCACTTCCACCCAGATGGCCCAGCACTTGGATGAGATCAGCTCGTGTGTGAAGAGCAGCTGGCTGAAGTTGAACCAGAGCAAGGGAGAGGAGATGCGGGTGGGCAGGGGAGACCACTTTGAAGAGATTGCAGCCAGGGTACAGTCACTTATGGCTGATGTTGCACAGCCACAATCAATCAGTCCATCGTTGAAGAGTACTCTTGGATTTCTCACTGAGCCTAAGCTCTCATAAGGAAGTGCCACCAAGTAACACTTTTTATCCTCTGTCTCTTGGATTTCTCACTGAGCCTAAGCTCTCATGAGGAAGTGCCACCAAGTAACACATTTTATCTCCTCTGCTTGGCTAGGAGACTTAGCCCCATCTAGATGGGTCCAGCTTCAGTTATTCACACCTTGGTCACTTCTTGGCTGCACTTCAGCAACACAATGTACCTGGGCATGAAGGCTTCCAGGTGTAGGAAACTCCAGCTAGTTCAGAACACAGCAATGTGTCTCGTAGAATAATAGGGGTGGAAGAGACCTCAGGAGGTCATCGAGTCCAACCCTCTGCCCAAAGCAGGACCAACCCCAACGAAATCATCCCAGCCAGGGCTTTGTCAAGCTGGGACTTAAAAAACTCTAGGGATGGAGATTCCACCACCTCCCTAGGCAACCCATTCCAGTGCTTCACCACTCTCTTAGGGAAATAGTTTTTCCTAATATCCAACCTCGACTGTATCTTGAGCCCATTGCTCCTTGTTCTGCCGTCTGTCACAACTGAGAACACCCTCTCTCCATCCTCTTGAAACTCCTTTTCAGGTAGTTGAAGGCTGCTATTAACTCCCCCTTCACGCTTTCCTTTTGCAGACTAAATAAGCTGAAATCCCTCAGCCTCTCCTCGTAAGTCATGTGCTCCAGCCTCCTAATCCTTTTTCTTTGTCCTCTGCTGGACTCTCTCCAATGCATGCCACATTCTTTTTGTAATGGAGGGCCCAGAACTGGATGCAATACTCCATATGTGGCCTCACCAGTGCCGAATAAAGGGGAATAATCACTTCCCTAAATCTGCTGGCAGTGCTGCTACTAATGCAGCCCAATGTGCCCTTAGCCTTCTTGGCTACAAGGGCACACTGTTGACTCATATCCAGCTTCTCATCCACTGTAATCCCCAGGTCCTTTTGTTCTGTACTGCTGCTTAGCCATTCGGTCCCCAGCCTGTAACAGTGCTTGGGATTCTTCTGTCTCCTCAGCAACACAAGCTGCCGTGACCTCACTACTGCCCTCTGCTCTCCACACAGGCTTCCTGCAGAATTTCAAATCCAGTTAAAGGGTCTCCTTATCTTCAAGGCTCTCCATGGCCTGGGCCCAAGCCTTCTCATAGGCCATCTAATGTTCTGGAACAAAAATTGTGGTTGATAACACTCCTGCTCCTCTGGCACAATGAACTCTGATGAGCCACTAAGCCTAAAGCTCATCTGTGCTGGAGGCAGAGCTTGTCCAAGGGCCAGTCGGAGGCTGTGGAATCAGTTTTAGTGGGGACTTCTCAACAATCACAACTTCATTGCTTTCCACTCCAAGCACAAGGTGATCTCTCTCACGGGCCTTCTCTAATATAAATACACAGCAATACGCGTATACTTAAAAGCCAATCCCACCAAAGAATACACTGCATTTCACATGCTTTTCCCACTGGGGAGAGGATGAGACCAAACCACTGATGACTGATGTGAAATCTGTCCCCCTTTGCTTAATAATCTACTTTGACGGTGCCCATATGGTACGGTGATGGGCTCAGTGTAAGAATCTGCATTGAATAGAATGTGGAGAAGGTTTTAGGAGCCTAATTTTAGATTTTCTACCTGTACTTAAAGCAGCTTCTTCTAGGCCTCTCTTTTTACACACAGGATAAGCACACCGATACCATGTGAGCCTCAGGGAGCCAATGGGTTCCCGGTTTGCCAGGACTCCTGTATCTGCTGGAGCTGCCCCAGGAACAGCACCTCTTTTGCAGTTGGGGTGAACGACTATTACAGTTTCAAACCCAGTCGGTTGCTGCAGGCCAACCTGAGCATCAGCCCCTTCCAGAACGGTAAGGGTGAGACACCTCTACTCTCCACTTGCCAGGAATATTTGAGATCCTTTGAAATGAAAACTTCTTCCTCTGCTCTGATCCCCTAACCAAGAATCCCGATCTCTAACTTTTAACCCTACTTCTGCATGCCAGGCTATTATCTTGCCAGGAATAGTTTAATTCCCATTGTGCGGCCTGTGCGTCTCACTTAGAGGATGATGGATGGATGGATTCTTCCTCTCCTGCCTACAGTGGAAAAGCCAGATGTATTCCTCCCTGTTGACCCACTCCCTTGCTCTGGCTGCCTGTCTCTGCCATTAGGGAAAAACTGATGCCAAACAAATCTCTTTGCTAAGAAACACAGTGAAATGTTTTCACCTTTCAATGAAGATAGCACTCATTTCCCCTGTAGCCTTGGTGCCCCTCTTGGTTGCATGGCTTTTTTTTTTTTTTTTTTACAGTCCCAGAAATCCCACACAAGCCTGATGTTAGGCAGATCTGGGTCCTTCCTTATGAAGATAAGACTTCACTATAGGACCTCTGCCCTGTCCACATCCCCATATACTAATAACCACAGTCTGTCTTATCCCTTCTTATTTTCAGTCCAGCCCCTCCCACCTCAGAAGCTCCAAATTAATGTCACAGAAGAGGGTGACTTCTTCCTGGCCTGGGAAGCAGCTGGAGGAAGAAAAGGAAGCCACTGGCAGCACCATGCACTGGAGTTTGAAGTGGCCTACAAGCGGGAATGGGAATCCTGGGAGGTAGGCATGAGAGATGCTTTGGCATTGGCACATGCTGGTTTTGGGTGCACCTTTTGGAGGGCAGAAGACAGTCCTTTGCAATCCTCTGAACCCTGCTTGGCTGCCACTGAATCCAGACCATCCTCTGAAACCTGGATGACCTAGAGGGTGGCGGAGGGGGCATGCTGCAGCCAGCTATGTGTGCTGCTTACAAATCCCTTGCTGTCCAGCCATGGCTGGGCATGGAGAGAGATTTAGTAAGTAAAAATCACTCTGTGCACTATGGGAGCAATGAACCCCACACAAGCATCTGTCTCCAACTTCACCCTGGGATCAGAGCGCTGGCAGTGCTTGGCTAAGCAAAATTGCCCAAGAAAAGGGTCCTCCCACAACTCTCTAACCAGTCTCTGTCTCCAGCTCCCCTGACTCCTCACTATCTCTTCCTCACCGACAGAAATCTTCCTCCGTGTCGGTCGCAAGCTCCTGCCACTGCCTGCTAAGGCGTGATGCCCTTGTGCCCGGCAGCACCTATCTTGCTCGTGTGCGAGCCAAGCCGAGCCAAAGCGGTGGCTGGTCTGGGCAGCCTAGCGAATGGAGCACTGCTGTGTCCTGGAAGTCCCAGGAAGGTAAGAGGGAGGGGAGGAATAGGGACCATGATGAGCTGCCAGAAGAGGGATATTGTGCTTCACCGATGGATGATTTGGAAGCTGGGTTGATGACACTGGGGAATTTCTGGAATTTGCTGAAAATGGTGCAGTTTCACTGGTGCTCTCTTATACGAAGTGCATTTGGTGTCGGTGACAGGTAGCAGAGCAGTAGTCATGGAGACTGCAGTACTCTGGTTAGTTGCCCAGCACAGTCCCAGTGCAAGCCAGTCTTTCTGTCTGTTGCAATTTATGTATCTTCTGGGTGAATGGACCAGCATAATGCTCTGGGCTCCTCTAGAAAATCCTGAGACTAAGGGCATCTTTACTGTACTAAATGAGGTTGACCTAAGTTACGTTGGAATACAGCCTGCATAGTAATTAAATCACTTTTGTGGGTCCACGCTATGCTTCTTGTGCCGAGGGTGCGCATCCTTATTAGCAGCATCTGCATTGATGCAGAGAGCAGTGCACTGTGGGTAGTTCTCCCAGTGTGCAACTCACTACCCTCTAGCATAGGGAGTTTGAGGAAAGTTTTGCAAAGCCTTGTGGGATTGAAATGAGTGGCACAGCTGTGACTGGGATCATGATCTCAACATCCAGAAAGCAGTGTTCTTCATCCCATAATGTTTTGATCATAATCCCCCCCCCCCACACACACACACCCCAAAAAATCTGTGCTTCCCTTCTCAATGTCCATTATCTGTGTCAGAAGCATGGATCCGCCACAGCTCTGCACTAGTGTGATGAGTGTTGAGCACTGGGTGCTTGATGTTGCAGTATTTGCAGAGCTGCAGGAGAAGCCATGTGGAAACCTAGAGCCATGGGGTTAGAAGCGACTGCAAGGATTATCTAGTCTAACCTCCTGCCAAGATGCAGGATTTGCTGTGTCTGAACCACCCAAGAATGATGGCTATCCACACTCCTTTTGAAAACGTGCAGCGAAAGAGCTCCCATTACTTCTTTATGCTGTTTCTTCCACTGTCTGTTACAGTTTTTCCTGAGATTTAATCTAAATCTTCTATGATGTACTTTGAACCTACAGCTTCTTGTCCTCCTGCTCTTTGTGGTAAGAGAGGACAACTTTTTTCCATCTTTTAGGGCAGCCTTTCAACAGTTTTTCCTGACTACCAAGTGCCCCCTCATTCTCCTCTTTTCCAAACTAAACCTACTTAAGTCCTTCAGTGTTAGCTCACAGGGTTTGCATTCCACCCCTTTGATCATCTCTGTTGTTCACTGCTGGCTCCTTTTCAGGTTCTCTCCATCTTTTCTATACTTCGGTAACTAAAACTGGACACAGGAATCCAGCTGAGGCCTGAGACAAGTAGAAGAAAATGTTCCCTCCATTATTTGCAAGCTGTGCCTCTGTTAATGCAGCCTAAAATTGCATTAGCTTTTCTTTTGGTAGCTTCATGATGATAAATCATGTTCAGATTGGGGTCTACCACCACTCCCTGCTCCTTCTCATCAATGCTGCTGCCACGCTAGTTATTTCCCAGACAGTATTTGTGCATTTGGTTTTTCTTCCTTACGTGTAGCACTTTACATTTATCTTCATTGAATTACATTTTGTGTTCAATAGCCTAATTCTCCAAATTACCAGGATTCATCTGCATCTGAACTGTTTGCTTGCAATCCCCCTCCAAAGTATTGTGACATCTGCAAATTTGATCTATATGCTCTCTATTCCTACATCCAAGTCATATAGAGAAATACGTTAAATAACGCTAGACCCAGAACACATCTCTGTGGAAGCCCACTTGAGACTACTTTGCAAATGGATATAATTCCATTAATGGTTACTCTTTCTTTGTGGTTGTTTAATGAATTAAAGCTATCATTAAGTGGATACCTGAGTCCACATTTCTCTAGCTTCCTTACCAGGTTGTCATATGGGACTGGCTATAGCCTTGCTAAAGTATAGGTATGTCCACCATATTCCCTCTATCCACCTGTCGTGGGGTGGTCCTCTCTTATTTCTCCCAGGGGGTAGGTCCTCTCTTATTTCTCCCTGGGGCTGTCTGAGGCTATGTCTAGACTGCAGGCTTCTTCTGGAAGATGCTTTTCTGGAACAGTAGACTTCTGAGTGGGGTGAGAAGTGTCCTACCATAGTGGAAGAAATATACCTTCAGCAGAGGATTGCAGATCTACTTCCAGGAAAGTTTCCTCAAGATTTCTATGGATACTTCCTTGGATATCCCAGTGCACATAAACTGGGTGTTCCACAGCGCACATTCCTTCCCATGTCAAATTAGGCAGAACAGCGGATAGCAACTCTACTTGTATTGGTTATTTCACTACCTCTTGAGTAAAGAGTAAATCAACACACTTCTTCTGTTCCTCCTCTACCTCCTCTTCACTGTTCGTGACACGGACCTGTTCAGTTGGGTTTCTCTGAAGTATCCACTGAGCTACTGGAGATGGTAGTAGCAGTGGAGTCTCCATCAAGGATGGCACAGAACTCTTTGTAAAAGTGACAGATCTGTGACTCCACACCAGAGTGATTTTTAGCCTTTCTTGCGTTCTTATACAGCGCCTTGGCTTTCACATGGCATTGCTGCTGGTCCTTTCTGTAGCCCTTCTCTGTGCCCCGAGTGATCTTCACCTAGTTGTTGACATTTCTACAGATGAATTGAAGCTGTGCCTGCACTACCTCTTCTTCCCATAGACCCAGGAGATACCTTCTCCCCTCCCCCCGGAAGCACATCTGTGGCATATAGCCAGCACGGTCAGCTGGAGAGTAGTTAGGCATGCGCTAGAATTGCTATGTGTGGTTTCCAGAGTGAGCAAATAGGAAATGGAATTTCAAAAATGCACAGTTTTGACTTCTTGTGCACCTGGCTGCTGAAGAATGGAGCTAAAAGTTGTGATCAAAGTGGTCAAAACTGGGGCATTGTGGAACAACTCCGGAGTCTAACAGCCAATGTAAGTAATGCAGTGCCTTCCCAGACACCTTGTCTAGGTTAAGTCAGAAGAGAGTGAAATTTTAGTGTAGAAATTTACACGTCAACCTTCCATCAACACGATTTTGTGTATAGACAAGGTCTAAAAGGATTCCCTTCCTCCCTCAATCCACAGTCAGTCCCTACTTCATCCACTGTCCTCTCACCCTGCCCCTCCCAGATGTACACTAACCACTGGCTCCTCACTAGGGGATGAGGCTCAGCCCAAGAACCTTCGCTGCCTCTTCAATGGGGTGGATCAGCTAACATGCAGCTGGGAAGTGAGGAGAGAGGTCGCCAGCTCTGTCTTGTTCACGCTCTTCTACAGAGCCACGCCGGCATCACAGTAAGTGACCTTCCCTTGGCAGCGTGTGTCTGTCCCCCTGTGTCTGACCATCCCTCCTGCTCACTCAGGCCTCGCTGCTCTCTCCCCCAGGGAGACGGAATGCTCTCCAGTGCACGAGGAGGAATTGCCTCACAGCCCCTACCTCTTCCAGAGCTGTGAGATCAACGTCACCAACGGCAACAGCCTGAGCCAGTACCTCATAACTGTCCGGCCCAAGGAGGAGGAGAAACTGATTGCAGCCTACAAAAACAGTGAGACCCCATCTGCATACTCTGCCCCGGCTCACCTGGGGCTCTCTCATCTGGCCTAGGAAATGCTTGGGTTGGCAGAGGGGTGCAATGGTTAACAGAACAGCTAGAGTGTGATGTGTGGGGTGGGGTGGACAGGCGGCTGGTAAAGGAAGCTCCTAGCACTGGAGCTCCCCACCGGCACAGCACTGCTGTGAGGAGGTACAGAATGGGGGTGTGAGGGCAGATATGTCAGATGGAGCCACAGGCTCTTAGCAATCCTTGGTGCTAATCTGCTCAGGCAGCAAGTTGTGCACCAGCGTATCTGTAGTCCTGCCAACGGCCCGCAGTGGGAAAGGGAAAGGGCAGGGAGACAGGCTGGGGGATGGATGCATGTTCCAAAGTGTTGTTTGTGTTCTAGTCAAGCCGCTTGCGCCTGTCAACGTGACAGTGAAAAATATGAAAGACGAGGACTATGAGCTGAGGTGGACCAAACAGGCTCTAAGCTTTGACCATATAATCCAGATATATGAATTCCAGTACTGGAAGATTGGAGACTCTGAGGAGGTAGGTGATGGTATTGCTGGGAGTCCAGGATTCCTGGAAGGTGGGTGGATGGGACAGAAAGTTTCTCACTCCTCTTCCATCTCTTCTCCTCTCTTCCCAGAATGTACGGTGGGCAAACATCAGCAATGAATCTCCCATCATCTTCACCCTGCCGATGCTGGAGCCCTCAACATACTATAAGGGAAAAATGCGAGCGAGGGTGCATGCATACTCATCCTATAAGGGGCCCTGGAGCGAGTGGAGTGAGGAGTGCACCTGGAAAACTGAAAGTGGTACATCCCAGTTGCGCTGCTGTGTTGGTGTTTGGCGGTGGGGGTCAGGTCCTTCCCTAGAGAGACAGGTCCTTGGCTAGTGTTTCAGAGGAACTGGGGTTTCATATACTCAATTAAGCAAACAGTCTGACCAGTTTCTCTTGATGCCTGGCTACTCATTTCAGTTCACAGGAAAGGGTATAACTATTGTATCTGAATCGAAGCCTGTTCTCCATAGGAATGAGGAAATTATGAAAACCAGAGGTTGGAAGTGAATGAAGTAGGCGAGCAGGGAAGGGGGTCTCCACAAGGAAGCTTAGAAACATGAACCACCTACATTTTCAGAGTGTCTTACAGAGGCTTAATTTCCATGATTCCCAGGAAAATTAGGAAGGTCACTTGACTCTAAGTTTCTGCTACACATTGTAGCTCTGCACTGCAGCCTTTGAGCTGTCCAGGTTACAACTTTTAAGGGGCACTAGGCAGACTTTATCCCACTGGATATGGTCAGACTGGAAATGGTTCTGGGCTAGTGAGAGAAATTCATGAATCTAAGCAAAGGGTTGGAAAAGGGAAGGAATGATCCATGGTAGAAGGTGGAAAAAGAAGAAAGGGATCAATTAGCAGAGCTAGTTGTACTGTTCATTCTGGAACCACTTTCATATTTCTGAAACAGTCTCATTCTTTTCTTTTTAACTAATTTTAAGCAAACCTGTTGGAGCCTACAGAGGTTTCTCTGGTCATTTAGAGAAGCATTCTGTCTTGGGAGTGATATTCAGCATTTGGAATTCAATCCATGTCACTAGGTCTCATCTGTGATCCATGCTCTCTGTTCGATTTTCCTGAACCTGTTTACAAACAGGAGATGTGGCTGAAGAATCTATTAATTGTGAATTTCCACACTATCAAATGTTTTGTGTTACAAGTGCAAATCTCTTGGCATTTATACTAGGTTGTTTGTTTTGTTTTTGTTTTTTGTTTTTTGTTTGATATCTGCAATATTCTTGTAAGGATATTCACCTTGAAGTGACTGATCTGTTCTCAGAGGACTGGTCTACACGAATGCTATTAGTTGACATCAGTTATACTACTTTAGTTATATAAATTCCATGAATGAAGTTGATATAACTTAGATCAACTTACAGCAATGATCAACCATGCTGTTTTGGCAGGGGATGTTCTCTTGCTGACTTACCTTCTACCTCTTGCAGAGGTGGTAGAGTAGAGATGTCAATGGGAGAGCGTTCTCTCATTGACTTAGCAGGTCTTCACCAGACCCGCTAAATCAACATTGCTGCATTGATCACAAATATACTGATAGACGTAAGTATAGACAAGCCGCATTCTGATCTTCACTTTAACAAAGCTCTTTGCTCTGGGAATTTCTTTAGGTTGTTTTTGGCTTTTTTTTTCAATTCCTAACATGGGACTGGGGAGAACATGGACTTGAGAAACATCCACTTCGGGACTGACCTAATGAGATCTGCAGAGAGGCACCTCACTTTCCCTGCACCCCTTGAGACTCTGTCCTTTGGAATTGAGTAGCAGAGTGAATTCTTTCTTGGGAAAGCATGACATATGTGAGCATACTGGACTCACAGAAATACAAGCTCATCCCCAGATAGTTTCTCAAACATAAACTGAGTGTCCAGATGTTCATGGAAAAGCCAAATGAAGGGGCTCAGATCAAATCAAATACATTGCCCTGATACTTTTGCCCAGGTCTGCTGATAAGGTCACATCTACTCTATCCCATGCAGATGAGGAGTCTTCCATGGTCTAACTGATTTGCCAGTTAGGATACGTAACTTGCTAGGCAACCTACATTTCCTTAACCTCAGTGTCATCCCTCAAGAGCATCCAGAATGTGAAATGTGGTACAGAACGGAGCCATTTTTGTTTCTGCATTTTTATCTCTTTCTCATTTATCTGCTCAGTCCCCTCACCGCTGATTCTCCAACTGTTGATCCCAGTCGTCACCATCATGCTGATCACATTTGCCTGGTGTGGCTATAGAAGCCTACTCCGGTAAGTCTGCATTGGGAGTGGGGGACCATGCTGATCACATTTGCCTGGTGTGGCTATAGAAGCCTACTCCGGTAAGTCTGCGTTGGGAGTGGGGGACACATTGGTAGAGCGAGTGCAGGGAGGGGCAGAAAACAGGTGCTGCATGGGCATATGCCTGTCCTTCATCTAGTCCAGCTGGGGATATGCCTGGGGTGCCAAGCAGAGCTCTCTCCATGTCGAGTTGCAGCTTGAGTATAGGGCTTTCAGGACCTTTGTGTTGACAAGGAGCCTAGGGTAAGACTATGTCTAGTGTAGCCTCCCTGCAGGAGAAATGACCCTGCAAACTCTGTCTTGTTGCAGTGTGAAGAACAAGTGGGAGGAAAAGATTCCGAATCCCAGTAAGAGTCAGCTGTTCCAGAGCTTCCTGAAGGTAGGAAAGAACGGAACTTTCCCCTTTCATTTGGCCTATTCTAGCCATAAAAGTACCCAAGCCTTATGGTCAGACCACGAGAGAGAGAGTCCTGCTCTTTCTGGCCAACAGAGACACTTACCAAAGTCCAACAGGGCTGTACACAAAATCAAACCCTCAGCCTGACTGGGTTCAGCTGGCCACCTTGTCCTCACAGCTTGCCTCATACGCTCCGCTTGTCTCTGGGTTCTGGGCTTCCTAAAGCCCTGATGTCCAGGGGCTGGCACACTCCTCCCCTTCCTCAGGGCTTCTGGCTGGTTACTGCTTTTCAGGGTCCCTGTTTCCAGTCAGGCTTCCTGTTCAGCCCTGGAGTAGCTGGTGTTCTGCCTCCCCCATCTCAGCCTCCTCTCAGACTACTTCCCTCCTACCCTTCCCTGGGTCTCCTTCTTCCAGTTAGCCTCACCCCGCTCTTTATAGTCACCAGCTCTTCTCTTCCCCCCCTAGTCTCTATTTCTATTGAGGCCTGGCTCATCCTCCAGATTCAAGCAGGCAGATGAATTGGCCTCTCAAGCCTTTACTCCAGGCATGGGGAATTTGGCCCCCAGCTTGCTTTGATCCTACCCACAAGGCTAGTCCGCCCCGCCACACACTGCAGTGCGAGAGAACAGCAGCGCAAAGAAATACTTGCCTGTAGACTCCTTCCTCATCACTCCCATTGGCTGGGAAGGGATGGGGAGAAGGGAATAGTCCTCTAGGTTGCCTGGACGACTTCTCCTCTGCTCTTTTCTGGGGCAAAGTGAGGCCCATTCCAGACCTATTCAACCTCATCCTGCCACCAGTCCCCAGGAGCAAAGTCATCCCCAGGAGGGGTTAAAGTGTTACCACACACTGTGGCATCCCCACTGCAGGACTCTGGGAATTGCCTCTCTCTTTGGAGAGTGCTGTTATCAGCTCTTGTCTTTCTACAGAAAGCACCACTCGTGATGGGGGGCTTTGGCAAGCAGAGCCATTCCGAGAAGACAGACCAGGCCAGCAGCATCCAGGTGCTAGAAGGGTGAGTGGTCGGTGCACAGCTCGGTGGTGTGACTCCCCAAGAGATTATGTGGTGATAGGGGCATCTCAGTTCCTGCGGTGGCTGATCCCTGTCGGGGAGGGGAGGGCAAATATAATTGGCATAATTGATAAACCTTGGCGCATCCCTCCCACCACATGCCTATCTGGAAATGTCAATAGATGGACTTGCAGCCCCTCGTCTCCTTGGCTGGAAATACCAGTTCCAAACCCTGCCCCTTCCTCCCTGACCTCTGGAAATGGGCTTATCTCACTGCCCTTGATTTCCCAAGCTGGAAATGCAGGTGAATAAGCACCCCCAGCACACATTCAAGCTGGAAATGCAGGTGAATAAGCACCCCCAGCACGCATGCATTTAGCCCCCCATATCCCTGTCATCTGGCAGTGAGGTCTATGCCACACTTGTGGCCAGTTCTGTCCCTGGCAGCTTAAAAGAGCCAGAGAGCAGCTGCAGTAGGGCAGAGGATAATTCCTCCACTGCAAGAGAAGTGTGGGGCCAATGTAAGGAGCCCAAGACTGCCCTTCTTGTAGCTCCCAGTATAGGAAGGTTGTAGGGTACCCCCTTTTCCCAGGGCTTAGAGGTCTGCAGCCAGGTATCCTATCCCCTTCCAGGCTGGAAAAATGGTTCCAGGGGCTCTTCACATCCTCTGTCCCTTCCCAGACCAGGTGCTGCAGAGATGAGTGGAGGAGCTGCCCCCTCAGAGGGGCTTCCCTGAGCTGCTGGGGTCTTTCTGCTCCTTCCTTCCCATCCCTTCCTGTGAGAATGATGTCTGCTCCTGAGGGGAAGGGCAGGGAGCTCTGTCTGACTTCTGCAGCGGCCTTGGCTGGATGCTTTTCCCCAGGAAGCAGGCAAAAGAGGGAGGGGTTTACCTCAGACAGAGTTGAAATGTGTGTCCCAAGCCACGGCTGCTTTAGACGTGCTATATCCCAACTCTGCATTCTAGCACATTGTAAGCGCTGGGTGCAGCTGTTGACGACCATCGGCTCTTTCAGGTGTCTCAGGGTGGGTGCCCGGCCACCACTGGCGACTTTTGAAAAGTTCAGGACATTATTTGTATATATCTGAGCCCCCACCTCTCCTTGCCTGCCCCCTCCTTTCTCCAGCTTCTACCTCAGTGGCTGTAAGATCCTTGGGGCAAGGACCACGTCTTTTTATAAGCTCAGCCAAGTGCCGTGCAAAGTCTGGTGCTATATAAGTGGGTCAACGTGGTCTCTGAAGAGTGATGTGCTGCTTGGGCCCCCTGCACTCCAGAAACTGCCAGACTGGGTCCAGCCCAAAGGTTCATTCCAGTATCCTGCCAGGAACAGACGCAGGTTTCAGGGGCTTGCCGGGCTTCTGTCCGAAGTGGGAGGAGGCCAAGGTCTGTGCCCTTCCATGGGGCAGTAACCAGAAGGGGCAGGGATGGGGCTAGCCTCTCATAGCCAGCTCTTCAGGGGCGCCTGGAGCGTGTTGTACAGGGCTTCGGTGACGATTTAAAGATCTGGGGCTCCAGCCCCTGCCATTGGTGCTGTAGCAGCGACCTGGAGATCCAGGCCCTTAAAAATCACCAGGCCCAAATGCAGCTTCTCCCTTTGTGTTTCCCTGCTCCCCATTGGCAGCCCTGGCTGGTGCTAGCTGCTTCAGAGGGAGGTGCAAGAACTTTACCATAGGCACTTATGGGATAATCTGCCTCAGGGAAAGATTCCTGCTAATCCCAGGAGACCTTTCTCCCAGGGGGCCCTCAGCTCTACTCACTGTCTGTGTGGTGCTCTCTGCTGGGTGACTCCTCTGTCTCCTCTTGTTCTCCACCCCACCCCCTTGCAGATTGATGAAGGTCAGCTCAGCAGAGCTCCCTGGAGCCATGGATGAGAGGATGAAGTGCTTCCTCAGTGCGCTGGACTCAGAGAACCCGTATCAAACACTGGAAACGGCAGCTCCTGCTCCACCTCCCTCAGCCCCGGCTGGCTGCCGTTCGAGTCAGGCCACCAGTCAGCTAGTGATGCCCGCCATGCTCCCCTGCAGGAGCAGTGCTGAGATCCCTGCGTCTCAGGCCCCCATGTCCTGCTTTGACTTCAATGGTCCCTACTTGCACCTCCCCCACGAGTGTTCCCTGCCTGACATTCCTCAGCACTCGGACGCTGCTCCATTCCTCAGCAGGGGGAGGCCGGTGTCGCTGGAGTATGTGTCCCTGCCCGAGGGGTCCAATTCCCAGACCCCGCTAGCAGGGGAGGCGAGAGGAGCAGCTCAGCTCCGCCCCGTCTCGCGGCCTGCTCAGGAAGAGATAAAGCAGCCACCTGCTGGAGGGCAAGAAGGGCCACAAGGCCAGTGCAGGGGGACTGGGGAAGCGGTGCAAGGGGACGCCGAAGGTCAGAGGTCACTGACTGCTGCCACCCCAAACAACTCCTGTCAGAAATGGCCAATGGGATACGTCACCACAGAAGGTCTGTCACTGATGCCAGCAGGTGACTCTGCTCATCTCTCCCCTGCACAGGCCCCGCCAGAGGGGATGCTCAGTGCTGTTGGAGTGTTGATGTCCAGCCCATGCCTGCCCCATGCTACAGAGCACACCCCTAGCCCTGAGCGAGCTCCTGAGCACCCTGTTGCCATCCAAGTCCCCCCTCCAGCATCAGCCACTCCTGAATTTGGCAGCTATGTTATGTTCCCCAAGGCTCCACATGGCATACCAGAACCCAGCAATGTTTCCTCACCCATCCTCTTGGAGGAGGTTGATTTTCCAAAAGAAGAGTCTGTACAAGAGGGTCATGTGGTCATGTTCAACCCTGATGGCACTGAGCCAGTTTTTCTACGCCAGGTAGGGGAATACTGCTTCTTTCCTGGTTGCAAACCCGAGGAGAAGACCTCCATGGGTGAGAAAAGCCTCCTAGCTGATCAGACATCAGAAGCCAAACAGGCATTTGGAAAATTACCCTGTGATGGAGAATCTGACAGTGGGAAGAGGGAGCCTGCACTTCAAATGCAGGCCATTCAGCTCTTCAAAACCCGGAAGTTTGGCGATTACATTGCTTTGCCTTAATGAGCAGGACAGGAACTAGCTGCCAGGACCAGAGAGCTATCTGAGCACTGCGAGAGAAGTGGCAAAGACAAGAAAGCAGGTGAATGGATGGAAATTTCACCGGTTGAAACATGTCTCTTGTTGTCCCCACTGTTTGCTCTCCCGATCCCAGGCAGGAAAAACACAGAGGACCATTCTTCTTCCCAGAATGGCAGATGTGAATTAGCACTGTCCTCCTCAGCTGTATCAATATATTGGAATAGAGAAATCAGGAAACTAAGCTCCCTTGGAGAGATCTGTTCATTACAAAGCTCTAATCCCCCGTCATTATTATGTTAGCTTTGCCTTGGTCCTGCTGTAATGTTATGTTGAGTTGAATGCAGACGTCACAGAGTGAACAATTAAAGTTCGTATTATGGATAAGTCTTTGGCACAAATACCAGGAATGAAATGCCTCACATTCTAAAAACAGTTCTAGTTTATCTAGAAAGATAATACTCATCCAGAAGTATTAAGTGTTGGAAGGATGTAGATACCTAGGAAAGATTGGAACGGTTAATGACGGGACAAGGTGGGTGGGAGGAAAGGGATGAAAGAAATGGAAAAACTTGGCTGCAACTGGAGAAAACTTTCTTAATTGTGACTCTGTCCTGCAGAATAATGTTTCTAGGAAGCCTTATCACCAGGACACAAACCCAGAGTGGACAAATATCAGAGAATATGGATTAATACAGGGAAAACTGGAGTTGGGGTAGGGGGGAAAGTTGTGCAGGTGGACAAACTATGGTTAATGGATCGCTTATCTCTAATTGCTCAAATACTATCATGTACTGGATTCCTAGTGAACTGGCTGTTTGTAGAAGATGGTAGCAGCTAATGAGAGGTAAATGTGCTAGAGAAAGAACTTCACAAGCCACATACACAGGTTTATTCACAAGTTTATTTTGTATGCCAACGATTTGAATCCTGGATGGCTGGGACATTATCTACCAACCAACCAACAAAGGTGCCAATGGTTCTTTGTGTAGATTCTGAGGTTAATATGCTTCCTCTCTAATTGCTAACTAATGGTCCTTATCTGCTCCTTTTAACTATCCAGTATTTAGGTGTCTGTTACATACCAGCTCCGTTTTCCCTTTGATATTTATATACCCACTTCCTCCTTTTGTCCCCCACGCCCCTATTTATTTTGGTTTTGGACATACAACACACCATTTAGGTGTCTGTTACATACCAGCTCCGTTTTCCCTTTGATATTTATATACCCACTTCCTCCTTTTGTCCCCCACGCCCCTATTTATTTTGGTTTTGGACATACAACACACCAGTCATCTGAAGAAGTGGGCTGTGCCCACGAAAGCTCATGATACCATCTACATGTTTTGTTAGTCTATGAGGGTATGTCTACACTACAAAGTTAGTTCGAACTAACGGACGTTAGTTCGAATTAACTTTCATAGGCGCTACACATGCAAACCGCTAGTTTGAACGTAATTCGAACTAGCGGAGCGCTTAATTCGAACTAGGGAAACCTCATTCTATGAGGACTAACACTTAGTTTGAATTAAGTAGTTCAAATTAAGGCCTGTGTAGCCACTTAATTCAAACTAGTGGGAGGCTAGCCCTTCCCAGCTTCCCCTGGTGGCAACTCTGGGCACCACCAGGGAAACTTGTCTGTCCTCCTCCCAGCCCTGGAGCCCTTAAAGGGGCATGGTCTGGCTACGGTGCCCGTGCCAGGTGAAAGCCTGCCAGCACCCAGCCAGCAGACCCTGCACCTGGCACGGCATGA